ATGGCAGAAGTGTTGGCCAATCAAGAACCAACACAGAGAGCAGAGAAGATGATGTAAAACAATTAGGGTGACGGCAGTGAGTATGTCTGCAGCTCGTTTGGTTACCTGCTTTATTTTCTAATCCAAGCACTCACTTATGCATACATGTATCTGTTATGACACAGGATCCACATAGAATTATTTCAGCCCTTTTAGCTGTTTAATAATACTTTTTTCTACATTTGCTTCCTGTAATAAATATTTAGAATTGAGTAAAACAAAAGGAGGATTTATGTTTTTGAGAGTGCTGGCTCTTTTCCAGTTTAGGATGCCATTGAGTGCTTCTCTGTACACTATAAACATTAACTATTCAATAGATTGATTGAAACTATACCTTAACGAGCTCTCAGATTTATTTCGGTGGCATTTAGGCCAAGTAGGGAAAAAAAGCTTTTTTTTTCTGTGTGAATATGCCATCCACTTGAGGTATTTTTCCAGACTGACATTTTTTTTCCTGCCCTTCAAAGATGGGGAATGACAGATTGTTGATTAAATGATCAATCTATTGAGCTGACCTTGTAATGCTGGGGAAGAATTACTGTCATTGAGACTTTACAGCAGATGTCCCTCTGCTTTGTGTGTGGTGCTCATCTGCTGGACAGAATGACGCTCTTACCTCTGGGCTGTTCCCCGTCCCCTAGGAGACGGCTAGTGTTCTCCACTCTCATCCCCAGCAGACGGTCTTCATCTTTTAGTCATTGTTTATTGGTCAAGAGTTCTTCAAATTTCTTGTGTTTATGGCGTAATTCGTTGTCGCTGATTAATTTTAACAGTAAGTCGGCTGTGCTCCTCCTTCCCCTCGCCGCCCGGCCTCTCTGTCTCGCTCTCATTCCGCCTCCATTTTTCCCTTTTTCTTCCACTCGATGATGGATGGGCCGCCTCGCCCTCCAGACAGATAATCCATCCTGCTGCGACTGGCAGTAATGTCAACAGCGCCGGACTCACCCTTAATTTACAGCACCTTCTCCCCCACCCCCCCACCTCTTTATTAATTCATATATTTGTTCGCTTTTCAGAGTTTAATTTGTTTACTTGTTTGTGTTTGTTTGTGTCCGCTGTCACTTTGTCAGAGCTTAGCTGGGCGAGTGAAGCTTGCGCTTGCTCCCAGGTTCCCGCTCCCGCACATATAGCTGTCTGACATCTTGCGGGAGGGACGTCCTCACTGTGCATTCGCGTTTCTGTCATTTGTGTACATAAATAGTTGTTCTGCACGTGCAGAGCTCTGGAAAAAATGTTGCACAAAAAGCACAAAAGCACCTAGTAAAATTGGTTTGGTTGAGTTTTATGCATGTTAAATGCCATTTTTTTTCTAATTATACATGACTATGCTAGAATTTGCTAAATTAAACTTCACACTGTTTATTATTACCATCATAAATGTGTGTGGAAATGAATTCATTTGAGAAACATTGTTTTTCCCCTGAGTTACTGGATATCTTTGTTGCTGAAATTTGTATGCAAACTTATTTGAATTAAGCACATTATATCAGCAGTCTTCAATTTAAACATCCATATGTACAGGTAGAGAGTTGTAGAATGTGGTGTGCATTAAATGTGATTACAAAAACACGGTGATTACACCAATGGATAATTACTTAAACAGGACAAATGAATCGCTTTTTTTATGGTATTTTAAAAAAAAAATCTTATGTAGCAGGCGCATGTCAATCTTAAAATAGTTCGTAATGGCAGTCCTCCCGTAAGAAGCGGCGCTGTTTCCAAAGTCTTGCTTGACCAAATAAGCAAGAGCCGATTCGGAGGCTCGTCCAAACATATGTTCATAATGTACAGCCAAGAGTGATCGCTCTGTTTCTCTTTTTTTCTGCTGGTTCTTTTAAGCCTGAAATGTGTGTGAGCCATTACTGTCAAAACGCAGTGCCTCAGGTGCTCTGCCTGAGTATATGTATTCCAAACAAATGCAGAGCTGATTAATGGTTATTTTACAATTTTTAAAAAAATCTCCCAATATATGTTTGACAATCCAGAATATACATCACAGCATACCTTATAATGTGAGCCTGAAGTGTTAGTCCAATGATTGACCTCAATGCTATACATTTATTTTGATTAGCTACTTGACAGACATGTTTTTTGTTTGTTTGTTTGCTCATGAGATGAATAAAATTGACTGAAGTTCAGATTAGTATTTTCATATTTCATTAATGTGGATCCTAATTTGGTCAAACAAACGTAAACGCGCATATGATATACAAATCGAGCAGATTAGCGCAGCTTCTGATGAGAGAATCCGATGGCTAGGCCAAGACCGGTCAGAGAACAGGACGGGCCTCCGCCCCCGCCCCACCCCGCCCCAGTTCGTGTCCTTTCACAGTGTATAATTCTGTACCTCCCATCAACAGGAAGGATCAAAAATTGGGTTACAATCAAAACATCAACACCGCGGCTTCCCCGGGTCTGTCGCTGCGACCAGCAGGTAATTAATAGACCGGTCGGATCCCTGTGCCGCTTTGGCATCAGCTGAGTCGTGGGGCGGAAGTGGAGGTAATATTTATCTTAATTCCAATTACCTTCATCTCAGCCGTTTGATGCTGTCAGGAGGTCAGTTCTCAGCAGGTCCAAAGCAGCGCTCTGCATTTCAAACGGTTTGATTCACCAGGACACTCCCTGTCAGGAAAGAAAAGATTTTCTCTCCACGCCACGCCCTCCCCCCACCCCCCATTAATTGAGCGCCGACTTCAGAGAGAGTGATTAGTGCTTCGCAGAATCAAGGCATCTTGAAAGCAAACTAGGCTGAGGTGGTCGTTAGGGTATAGCGGGCGTACGGTGCGGCAAGGGGTTTGTCACCGAGCCTTTTCTAGAACGTGCCGTCTGCTGAAACGCTCCCGTAATGTATTTTGGCAGCGTCGCCTCCCAGTTCATAAAGAAAGCGTCTCCAATGTATATCTTTACATGGCCTTGTTTACATACTTTTCTGAAATGAAGCCGGGACCGTAAACGTGTAACCTCCGCATGCAGCTTGGCTGTTTATGGCCGCCTCAGCAGCTGCTGGGTTCTGTCAAGCTCGTCATGTGAGCCGGTGCGCTCTTCCCCCGAGTGTGCGGCTTGTTAAATCTAAAATGGCTTTGCGCTCTAATTAAATGGATATTTCATCTCATTCCTTGCCAGAATGTTCTGTCTGAAAGTTGCAGAATAGCAAAGCAAGATCTGTTTGTATAAATAGTTTTAGAAAATAGGTTTAGAGTCGGTTTAAACAAGACTGCGTACAACAGTGCTAACATTTGCGGTGATTATGATGTGACCCCCCATGAACTATGCAAAAAAAATAATTTTCACCGAATTTCAATATCCATGCTAATCTTTTGTGTTACGGTTTTACCCTGAACAACCCCAAAAACATGTATGGATTTTTACATTTCACGACCACCCTGAAAACGAGGGTTTGTGAGGTTGGAGTGTATCCTGCCGTCGATGCATGATGGCAGCCATTTTGTGTTCTTGTCACAAGGTGAAGAGATCGCAAGCAGGGTGTGATCTGATCTCGTTCCCTCAGCCGGCCTTAGTACTGAATGTGTCCGCAGTGTGTCTTGCGTTCTTCAGGTGTTTTTGGGAATATTTATGGAATCAGACATCAGTTATATTGTATGCTCTGTGCACTAGCCATGGCTGATTATTATTATTATTATTATTATTATTATTATTATTATTATTATTAAATTCATGACTTTGAATGATGCATACACCCCCGAGAAAAGGTGGTGATTCTGATTATTCTAAGAGAGAAAGATCTGTGGTGAGTTTAAACCAGTTTTGCATGAGATACTGATATTGGTCCAAAACTGGTGTCAACAAATCTGGAACTCATTCAGCGGAATGAGAACAAGTGCAGTGACACAGCTGAGGTGGTATTTAAGGTTGAATATATTTTAAGGGCATTACTTAACACTGACCTTAACCTATATCTAAGATGTTGTCCTTTTTGTTGCTAAAGTGCTGCAGCTTAAATAAAAAAATTTGCCACCTCTTTACCTCCAACCCCAGTTTTCTCTGAAGGTCTTCAGTTTTCCAGTCACAGATTAACCAACCCTGAAGGATTTTAAGAACACGTGCACTGAAAGAGTCGAGAAATGATGAAACATGCGGCTGCGTTTAACGGCAGCAGCGGCCTCATTTATCAGGGCGTTGGGGCCCCTCTGCGAGCATCACTCACTGTTTACCGCCTGACAGAAGAAGCTCTCCGATTCTGCTGGACCGTGTGTTCACTCTGTTTTGGGTCTCTTGGGACTGAAAAATTGTGGCCCGTATCCCTGCCCAAAATGAAACTCTGTTGTCGTGCTCCACAATGGGAGCCCGGCGCGTAGCGTTGCGGCCGTCGCCCAGTGCGGCCTCGTGCTGCCCTTCCTCTCGGGGCCAGCAGCCCCTGCCTTGGCCGGCATCTTGTGACACCCAATATGGCAGCCTTCGACTAATTGATGCCACCTTGTCAACACTAATTACTGGGACCGCGGCAACGAGGAGGCAGCTAATTAACAGACTAACGATGTTTGTCACTTCAGACCGACCCAGATATTTAGGGAAAAGCCAGACTTGTCACCCTCACATCTGCTGTTTTTTCCCTTCGTGTTTTAACATTCGTCTTGCCCTTTCTTTTCATTTTTCTCTCTCTGGCTTTGGTTGGATGTATTGCCTCTTCCTTGTCACATTTACATCAGAATTGATTGGGACAGTAGTGCAACCTGCAATGTCTCACTGCAGAGTAAAAACAGAGGAGAGGTGCTCCTCGGCTCTGACTGTAGTTGTCAGTTTCACACATTGTATGGAATCGCATCAAAGGCTGTTTTCATTTGACTTTTTTAGAAATTCTTTTCCCAAGCATGCTCAGTGCTCTAGTTACCACGCGGTGTAAGGAAACGCGTGAGAGACTAAATGATGAATGTGTGTTTGTGTGTGTGTGTGTTATATTTCTGTGCATATCACATTTAATCTTAATTTTTTAATTTCAGATCCGAGTGGATGGCATTCCTCCTCCATCCCAGAATGCTCTGCTGTACGAGACAGTCTCGGTGGTGGAGGGAAGTCCCATACTGCGGGATATGGTCTTCAGTCCAGACTATCAGTACATCTACCTTCTGAGTGAAAAGCAGGTGAGTGATTTACAGCATAAACGGGTGTCGGATTTCTGCTGCAGAGCCCAAGAGTAGAATAGTTTTAAATTTTGCTTTTTCTAAATCACTAGCCTGCCATGAGGTATTGATGATAGGGTCATTTTATTTTGGTGTGTATGTCCGGTTATGGGTTAATCTTTCATTGGGGTTGAACCCGGAACCTGATTGGCTAAGGAGACAATGGGTTGGATGGAGGCGATTGGATGAGTGCTATCCCCCTTTGTCTTTAATGTTGTCTAATAAGTAGTAGAATTTATTGCCGTTTAGAATATTGTAATGAGTCTACCTGAAATTTGCTTATGAATTAAATTAACCTTGAATTACTGAACCTAAGACCTAAAGCGCCGGTTCGATAATCTTTTTCTCTTTTTTGCATTGCAGTATTCATTTGCTATGCTGCTGTAAGTTTCATTTTTAATTAAGCCTTGCAGTGCATCCTCATGTGGGCACATTGGCGTATTGAAGTATTGGTAGTAGTTCTTTTAAGCAGTGAATGAATCCTGGAAATCAATGATCCTGGCAGCTAATATACAAATGAGCGAATTGTTTATAAAGCCTCTGAGTGGAAATTGTAAAGGCCGACAGTGAGGCGGCCTGTGCCTGTTAGCAGACCGTCTATGAGCATGAAAGCGTTTGTTCTGCGCCGCGCGTTTTGTCAGCGGGGACTGAATGAGCTTCGGTGCCGTCAAGTGTTCTTGTTTTAAAGCCCGAGCGGAACTTCAGTCGCTTGCTTTTAACGCGCGTAGGACGGGGAACGCCGAAACCTACGGCGACGTCTTTGAATCTTTGAATCCTCCCCAGCTGGTTCCCCCGTCGGAAAGCTGGCGGAAACGTCTCCATCGAGACTGCTGGGGAATAAAGCCGTGGGGGGGGGCAGAGAAGCCATGCAGCTGCAGCAGAGGAGCTGGTGTTCAGGTGCACTGAAGAATGACTACTGAGAGACTCATAATGCACCTTTAGTGAGCCCCCCCCCCAGCATAGGCGGGTGATTAATGGAGAGAATGAACTACTCACATGCGCTTTTTCTGATATGCTGACATGTATGATATGTTTTTCAAAATATGTTATTGATTGATTTTACACAAATCACAATGTATAATGCCACTGTGAATTTTAAGCAGATTACTCTTTTATATCCATATATATGTGTGTATATATATATATGTGTGTGTGTGTGTGTGTGTGTGTGTGTGTGTGTGTGTGTGTGTGTGGTGTGTGTGTATGAAATAGTGACATACTGTGCATTAAAAGTAGGGTAAATGAAAATGCACAAACATACTCTCTCCTCATAACATATCGAGAGAGAAACTGCATAGGAAAACTAATAACAAATAAATAATGGGGAGATACCCCCCGCCCATATATATATATAAAATATAGATGTACTTTAAATCTCGTTCCTCAGAATTACGAGCGTCGTTGGATTAGAAGAGAACTCTTTGGGCACCTGCATGTATATCGTGCATATATATATATATTCTGAGGAACGAGATTTAAAGTACATCTATATATATATGTACATCTATATACATATATATACACACACACACACACACACACACATACACACATGCAGGTGCCCAAAGAGTTCTCTTCTAATCCAACGACGCTTGTAATTCTGAGGAATGAGATTTAAAGGGTAGCCATTTATGATGTATGGTTTTTATTTAAGATACTTTGCATTCAGACCAGACATCTGTCGTTAGTGTGGAAAGTTCTGTCCTAGCATGTTACACTGGTATGGAGTTCACATTTATTTATTTGGCGCTTTTATACAAAGTGACGTATATATGGTGATCTGAGCTCATCGTCAGCCAGAATCCCTGCAGCATTTTGGGTTAAGGACCTTGCTGAAGGACCCGCCCCTGGCACGGGTACTATGCTAGTCCCAGGATTTGAACCCACGACCTTGCAGACATGGGCAGCTACGCGCTGCAGCACACGGCTGAGAAAATGCAAGACTGGCAAGTGCCAGGATGGGCATGTTGCAATATGGATGAATTTCAATTCCTACACTTAAATATGCATACTCATTTTTTCACACTGTCAGTAATCCAAGGGGATCTCTCTTGAGAAGAATTGCAAATATGATGAAAAGTGCGCTGTTTTGAGCAAAACAATGAACCGCCACACCGGAGGAACTCCTCAGTAGGAGTGTGGAGATAAAGGACAGAGCACCCACTTCTGATTTAACTCTGGAACGTGTCGGTATGCCTGTTCAGAAGGCAAAGACCTGCATCAGCTATCCTCAGACTCCACAGCGTGTTTCAAAGCTTATGAAAAACGAGGTGTGTTCCGAAATGAGTGAAGTTGGATCAAAGGTATAAAAGACAATGAAGGAAAATGTGGAGCTGGAGAGTGAGGTGCACCTCAGCGTTTTACTGCGGGGAGATGAATCCCCAGGGAGGAGATACCAGCAGTCATAGCAGCAGAAGAAGCAACTCCTGTCCAGCTCCTGCGTTTTTCTTTAATGATCGACGCACTTGGGCATTCAGGACTGGAAGCCACGCCCACATTCCAGATATCGACGTTCCCTTTAAATGATTAAAAGGGGAGTGCTGTGTGTTTAAGGGAGCATCTCACCCTTGTGAATTGATTGTTCTGACAGGGAACATTAAAAGGCCTGTTGTCTAGAGATCATCAGTGAAATCTGAGTGCTCGCCAGATAGACGCTACCCAAATAGGCAAAGGCGTGAGTTTCTGCAGTGACCACGTGGTTTTTTTTTTTTCCTGAAACCGGCAACATTCCTGCCTGTGTCGTCCCTCAGAGCTCAGCCATAGTTTCTTGGGTTCTGGGTGTATGAAGACACAAAATTACTAGGCATAACTGATTTATGTCCTGCTAGGTTGAGAGGCTAAGGTACTGCATTAGGGGCAGGTGTAGATAGGTAAGACATTTACACATAACTTCTTTGTTTTTGGGATCAAAGAACTGCAAGTAAGGGCTCAATGCATCAAATACTCATTGATCTCTTGCTTAGTATAATTTTGTTTACTGCTTGAGGTTGTCATATGTGTTACACATGACTGTTAGCCTGTCACAGATTTAAAAATTCCCCCATAGCTGTAACCACATAGTGTGTACTTTTTCTCCTTCGTACAGTATTGTGTGATTTTTGCTTGGGATATTGGGTTGATTTCCACGTTTATAACTGCGTCTGTGGTCCTTGTGCCATGACTAGCCTGTGCCTGCCGTGTTGTGCCTTTTCCTCTGACTTATTTGTGTGGGTATTGGACACGAGGCTCATTGACAGCAAGTAGCATCTGGGGAGATGGTGGTTTGAGGGAGTGGATCTCGAACATGCAGAGCCTCGCAGAATAAATTAACACGGCAGTCGGGGCACAGCACCTCACCCGCCCACCAGCCATCTCTGTGGCTCAGGGTTAGAGATGTGCCGGGGGTGTCCGCCGAGCCCCCCATCATACTTCTAGGAGCGAGGCAGAACCTGCAAGGTGGGGCCCCGTCCCCTGGCCCGGACTGGCAGAAATGGCATGGTTCCATGGTGTCTACATTCAAAGTTTGAATCCTGATGTATGATAAAAATATTCTCCTGCTTGTTGAGAGTCGCTGTGTGGCCACATATGTGTTCTTTTGTAAGTACAGAATGACGCAGCATGATTTTTTGCATTGGGCCTCTTAGAGACTTGGCTTAAAGGGTCTAGGTTCGGGATCTGGCTAATTATGTCAGGGTGTAACAAGTACACTTGAAGGCTGATCGTGTCAGTAGAACATTTGTAGAGTAATACGGATGGTGCCCTGAGGACGAAAGGTTCAGTGCAGAGCTTGCTTTGTGGCCTCATGCCACCTGGGCTGCGTGTCTGATCCCTGCCCTCTGTTCCCTGCAGCTCCGCACCTGTTGTCCCTGCGTCGCACGTGTGGTTAGCTGTATTGGAGTCTGTAAATTGTCCTTCTTTTGACTGTATAAATGCCCCACAATGGACTGACATACTGTCCAAGGTTTCCTGTAAATCTCTGCCCAGTGCATCCTGGGATAGGCTCACCACAGCGCTGCCTGGGATAAGCAGCTGGATGGATTCATCTCAAGTATGTAAGGTCGTTTCTGACACTTCCTGCAATTAAAGGAAAACCCCCTTTAATTGAGATAATCCGCTCCAAAGCACATTGCTCCGAAACCAGGATTTGTGGGTACATATTTGGTGCTATGTAGCAGAAGTTCAGGCTCTGTTTGAATATGGCTATATAGAAATATCTAGAATTGCGAGGTGACTCATGATCTATGCTTCCAGGAACAGATGCCATGAATTCAGTGCTTTGGCTCCATTACACCAGCATAAGATGCCTTTGTATGGCTGTCATTCGTGCCTGTAGTGTCCATGTCGAGGCCTGTTTGGGTTTTGCGCTGCTTTGTTTGCGTTGACCCTTGACCCTTTGTGTGTTTCAGGTGAGCCGGGTGCCAGTGGAAAGCTGTGGGCAGTACCATAGCTGCCGGGCCTGCCTTGGCTCTGGGGATCCCCACTGCGGCTGGTGTGTCCTCCACAACAAGTAAGTACAAACACTGCCGGCATTGTGGCTTGTGTCCGACAAGCCGTGTCCATCTTAGATGAGCATCCAGCCTGGCGGGTTGCTGTCTAAGTCACCCTCGACTTGCCTTCGTAGCATGTGGACATTTCGCCTTCAGTTCCTGTGTGATTTCTCTGGGATAATCGCATTTCCTCCAGTCCAGGGGCGTGCTGTTCCTGTGAATTGGTAACTGTAAATTGCTCTTGGTGTATTAATTTGTGTTTTTGTGCCTGCTTTGTGCTGGGCTGGCCCTCCTTACATGGTCCATCCCAGAAGCACTTTCATAACACCGCATCCTTTGTGGAATTATCCCGCCGGCGCTGTAACCCTGCCTGTGTGGGTAGCTAATGAAAATGAAAAGACAGATATAATGTATGCTGAATTCATATTCAGTGTGGGGAGGGCGAAAGAGCAGAGGGACTAGCAATGCAATATGTGATGCAGTGCGAGCCTAGACACATCTGGATTTATGCCAGCCAATCAGGAAGCTGCCCTGAGGTTACTTTCACCTGGCCTACATAGAGTGTAGCAGGTGGCAGACCTCCCAGATGTGCTGTTCCTGAGAGTCCTTGGGCAACAGCTGTTAAATCAGAGAATGCCTGAACAGCTGGAGTTCTCTGGCTCGCTGCCATTCCACCCTCCCAAAGCCCTCGCTAGACCTGCTCTGTGCGTCCCAGGTTTGGTAAACTCCCTTGGATCAATATATACAAGCACTCCATTTGTCTTCAGTGGGAACAACAGGGAAACGCGTATGTAATTGCTGATGGGAGTGGTCTGTGCTGGTAAATCCCACCAATGATGCACACCATGAGGAAGAAGCAACTTTAAATCGTTTCCAAACAAAATTTAAAACGACAGGATTAAAAGTAATTTCCTTAACTGTGAAACTGAGAGCATTTTGCTAAATGCAGTATTGATGTCCCCCCCCCGCAGCTAAAGGATATGGACTGACTTCATGCTTGTGCCACCCCTCATGTTGTACAAAAGTAGCGGGTGGGTCACTGTTGTTCGGGGAGGGGACAAACTGCAGTGTTTGTCTGAGCTTCGGCTCTTCAGAAAAACTAGTGAAGAATTTCAGAAGCCCAGACTTCCATATTTTCAATTCTTCCTTACCTTAATCAAGATAAAGATCTTTAATTAAGATGCAAATCTCGGATTGATGGAATAATTAGAATAGACTTTGCAGCTCCAGTTTGCAAATGACATTTCTTTGCATATTAATGCTGTATTCCCAGAATTTACATGACCTTGTGACAACCACTGCACACTGCAATTAGTGTGAGATCAAGCAAAGTGATGAGAATAGATTCAATGGCAGAATTGTCCCCATTCACATATTTCGCTTCCCCTCTCTCCGCCCAACATCCCCAATTGCGAGGCTAAATCCTGCCTTTTAAGGAGCACGCTCAGTAAGCCTACCGTCTGCCCCTCTAAGTTTCCTGGCTCTCAAGTTGTCAGACTGCTATTTGACTATGAATGCCCACATGTTCAACTGGGAACAATGGGAGTAGTGGGGTAAAATTAAGAAATGTGGCAGCCACATCCATCTCGGGGGCAATAACCCCCTCCCCACAGCACTGTGCGTTCTTTCACTGTTGGAGGTCTAAAGAGGCCAAGAAAGAAGGCCATTGTTCCCCCTCTTTGGGCGGCTGTGAGGGTCAGTCTGAATATCCTTGTACAGCAGAATCACCTCGGTTCCAAACAACATGCTTTAGAGAGGATCTCTGTTTATGTCCAACCTTAAGGCTATTATCTAATGGGTCACCCATTTAATTAAGAGACTTTTCCAGTGGCCAAATAGTAGCTTAGCTTGTTTACCCTTTTAGATATCACTTGCTTTTTTCAATATGGAAAATACTATAATGGTATATTGTTTAATCATATATTAGAATTAATTTCTACTCAAGCAATTAATGAAAACTCTAATCCTCTTTAATGCTAAACCGAGTCCCACCCCCTTCCCCCTATAGATCATTAGCACTAGTATTAGGTTTAATTGTAGTATTTTCACCTAGTGAGTCACTGGAGAGCAGAATTCATGTCCTCTGGAAATTCCCAGTGACAGTCCTCACTATGGGAATTGCCAGAATTGCTTCTGTTTAATTGACACTCAGCTTTTGAAGGTAGAATGCCTATATTCGGGTGGCATTTCCAATTTCAAATCCTGTTTTCCACAGCTCCTAGCAGGTGGGATTATTACAAAAACAGAAAATGGCCCTTCACATGCATCGATTGTGCAAATTCATGGCACCATTAATGTGAACGGCTTATGTGATTAAACATCAACCAACTTCCTGTTTACCAAGTATAGCGCGACAGGAAAGATAGTGATCCATTTGTGTAGATAATAGTCTAAACAGTATATTCATGTAACCATTTTCGTTATTGAACGTTCTTTGCCAGGAATATTGTGGAGAAGAATGTTGTACTTTAAAGGTTTGCATTGATCTTTAAAAGGAGCGGTTAGTACAGTAGTTAATTACTTCAATTTCATTGCACTGAACCTTGGACACAGTCTTATATGCCACTTTGTTTCAAAGCCCCTTTTCCCCTCCCTGAGGGGAGCTACGCTGAAGGGTTGCTAAAGAGACCCTTTTTAAAAGCAGCCTCCCCATGTGCCACCTCAGCCTCTTACTCTTTTCAGCTGCTCCCTGGAGGCTCTTTAGCTTTGAGCCACCATGTTAGCCTAGCCAGATAAGGGGAGAAAAACTAAATGCACCCTGGGAAATTGTCTGTGTCCATGGCAACAATAGGAAACTGGAAGATGGATTTGCAGTGTGATTCAAACCAGTGGTGTTTAGTGATTTCTTCTGACCTGTATATTGTGTCTCTTGAAAAGCAGAGAAACTGGCCACTTTAGACTTAATTTCTAGGTATCACTGTTGTGTGCAAATGTAATTTGTAATTTCCTGAGGCTTTATCAGTGCTTAGTAATAATGTGTTCATACTTTATATCAGGCAGAGACTGTGCTTAGGTCATCGACAAGTGATTCTGCAGTGCTTATCTTATTTTTTGTGTAACTGGGAAAACAGCCTTGTTTTCTTTAAAAGGAAGAGCTGATTTTACTTTTTACTCATGCTATTATTATTATTATCATTATTATCATTAATAATAATAACAATAACAATAATAATAATAAATTGGTAGTTCATTGCTCCCCATGGGGAAATTCTCTTCATGCTTAAACATAACCTCATATTTAAGGCTCTTCATAATGTTGACAAAATCTTGATCTATATTAAAATGAAATACAATTCAGAGTATAATGAAATGTGCCCTGCGTTGGGTTGGTGCTCAATCCTGGATTGTTCTCTGCCTTGTGCCCATAACTTCCAGAACAGGCTCCAAACCACCGCAACCTTACATAGGACAAGCAAGTATAGAAGATGGATGGAAGGAGGGAAGGAAGTGAAGTGCGATGTTTAAGTAACTGAACTGAAGTAATGATAGACCATTTCATAAATTGATCAGCTTTAAGCTGGTCTTTGGCAGTGGTGTTTGATGATTGGCTTGTGGAAATGAGATTGCCATTACCGGAAGGAACATCCAGATTAAAATCAATCTTAAACTGACTTGCCTTGTATATCCATACAAATTCAATGAATACGCCACATTCTGTAAACATACGTAAAGGAGAGTCCGCCGGCTGCTTTCTGGTCACCTACACAGGTACTTGGGCTTATGTTAGCAGAAATCAGTAGGTCAGCTAAATTCCGGAAGCTGAAGGTTATTGAATCCTGTAAAGGGTTCTGTAGATGACAGAATGACCCAAAACTCGCTCCCCATCTATATTTTATATTTGCAATGAAGCCGTAGTCTTCGTCCCCGTTTATCACTGAAGTCGTATTGATGATTAAAGCAGGACTTCATGACTATCTCCTACGTCTAATGTGCTCGATTGCTCATTCCGCTCTGTCCCCATCACACACCAGTTAACACACACCTCCCTCCCCCCTAGAAGAAAAATCTCAGTCCTTCATCTTGCTCGATGTATAATTTCATACATTTAATATTTTGAGGCAGTTCGGGGGGGGGGAGGGGGGATAAATTGGCGGTTTTGTCTAATTAACCTGGTAAAATCTTTTAGGATGAAGCTGCTGGATACTGTAGTTACTGTAGATTCAGTCTGTGGGGTCATTAAAAGCACAGCAGAAATTAACAAATTCAATAACCTATGGAAAAAAATAAAATAACGAACACATAGAGAACTGATTTGTTCGAGAAATATCTTATTTAGTAGTGAAGTAGTTAGCTGCTTGACCTCATTTTGTGTGGTAAAAGGATGAGCTTGTGCTAAAATGAAGTACCGCATTCAGCGAGCGCCTTCCGGAAAAGGTTAATGTGGCACCCCAACCTCCCCCTCACTGAATCCCCCCACACACACACACACACGTGTCTTTTAACGCTTCAGTACATTCTCCTCACTTGACAATTTATGGCCCCATTTGACCTTATCATTTCTCCAACACAGAGCTCCTTGTGCTAATTGACGCTGTGTTCCGCGCGCCTCGTCCTCACCGAGGTGAGGCAGGAGAAAAGGCAGCAGCGAGGGTCCACGAGGCCCCCCAGGCGAGGCCCCCGGCCCGGCTTTGCCTGCCGTTTCTGGCCAGACGAAGCCACTTACCACAAAACCCATTTCTTCCAGTTCTATCAAGGATTGGAAGTGTAATTTGGGGGAATTCATTTTTCAGAAATGGCAAAGGGAAGCTGACAATGAGTATCACTGTCATTCGGACGTGTAGAGAGGCTCTACAGGTTCATGTTTTGGAATATCTGACTGATGTAACAATGACCGATCATAATTAAATTTCTTATCATGAGTTTAAAGCATCGTCATAGTATGTTTACTTAATATACAATATCTATATATTGCACAAGAGGGGAAAAAAATCAATAAATTCCCTTTGGGGGAAGTTCTGGAATTAATGAGATGACACGTTCTGTTGGTGTTTCTGTAGTTACCTGTTCAGCCTCAATATGCTGACTATTGACTAGTTGTGTGAACATGGAAACAGGCATGATTAGTATAATTAATATTACTTTAGGCAGGCGGTGTGGCATTGCTCAATGGGCAGCCCTGCCACCTCTTACCTCAAGATTTGCGAATCTCACTGTGTGTGTGTGTGTGGGTGTGTGTGTCTGTGTGCGTGCGCGTGACACCTCAGTGTTGTGCCCGATGCTGCCTTGGATATGCGTAAAAGGATAAGCAGCTAGAAGATTTGTAGACAGAATATTTATTTAACTGTATTTCTATTATGTTAATTGTAAATTATTTTTGTCATGATTTGATGTCTAAAGCCCTGTGATTTATTTATCTGTAATAGTACTGCATTTCTGTCAATTACGTTGTTTTCAGTTCAGCGCTCAGTGGATAAATTGTTTAATTGTGTGGGTGGTTGATTGTCTGAGCCTGTTGTAATATTTTTGTTAAATACAGATGTTAGTCTCGTTGTTTTGTTGGTTCCCCCCCCCCCATTGCATTTTTATAAAAGTGAGTTCTTTTTTTGTTTGTTTTAAGTACACTATGCTACCTTTCTCCATGGAGACCTGGCCAGCTCCTTTCACAGCTGTATGCAGACATGGAACTTTTAATGGCACTTAACACATCGGACAGTTGCACTTATGTTATAAATGTTTTAATATCCGACTGCGATGTAGCATTAATGTGCCAAGAAAAAGATTTTAACTCTGTGCTAACAAAAAAAACATGTAGCTAAAAGAAGTAAACACGCACATTGTTGCTTTTCTTTATGGCATGTCAAAGTGTTTGATTGTCAAAACTGTAGTATTGGAATAACAGTGTGTTCTGCTAACAGTGATTTTAAATGCGAGACAATTCTGGATAATATGTTGACTGTTTAATGCTAATATAATGTGTTAAAACTGCTAGCAGTTTTATTTTTAGCATAAATGAGTGTGCTATGAGAAATCTCGCCTTGTAAACAGTGCAGAGACCTAATGGAAATGCATGCTAGTGTGTGTCCTTCATACATGTCCTTTGTTCCTAGTCCCACATCGGTTTTGAATATGGAAAATATTGTTTATCGTCCCTGTGGAGATTTAACAATCGCAACAGTCCTATATAACTGTAGCTGGTTACATTTGCAAACTTATTTCTTTTTAATTTGATCACAGAATGTGTCATTTCACAGGTTGGGTTTAGGCACCTGACTTGTTTTTCGTTGCCAAATGTGATACCTAGATACAGTTGCTTAGCAACCCAAAGTTTCAATGAAACCCTCAAAAAAAAAAAAAAAAAACAGGAGCAGGCTGCTAATAATGAATTGACTCGTCATGATCACTTGCCTTAAATAGCGTAGACTGAAGTAGACTGAGTTCTGATGGTATAGGCTTCAGTGCGGTGTTTTGAATGATCTGTTTATACCTTGCCTGTCTTTCAGGTGCTCCAGACAGGAAGCATGCGAGAAGTGGTCTGAGCCAAAGCGCTTTAATGTTGAGCTGGACCAGTGTGTTGACATTGAGGTCGTACCCAGCAATATGTCTGTGACCTCTGCCTCAGTCCAGGTAACACGCATGAGAATCTTACAAAGGGTTTCATTATGGTCAAGACATAGATACAAAAATGCGAAAATTACAAACACACGTCAGAAAAGTGTGTAATACAGAAACCGTTCTTGTAGAATACAAGCTGATACGACTGTTTAATTTTGTCCCCCCCTCACCCTGTGTTTCCGTCATTCTGGGACGTCAGCTCACCGTGAAGGTGCGCAATGTGCCCAGTCTCTCTCAGGGGGTCACCTGCGTTTTCGAGGGGCTGGCAGAGAGCCCGGGAGAGGTACTGGACAAAGGTCACGTCCTCTGCGTGTCTCCCTCGCTGCGGGACGTCCCATCCGTCACTCTGGGTCACGGTACGTGTGCCGCTGGGTTTATTTCTGGAAGCTGTCTCCTTCTGTTGGCACGTTTTAAACGTTATAAATATTAGTAGATGGTGATCCAACCAGCTCATGAGTAAAGTGAAGCGCTGAAGTTGTTTACAAATTGATATAGATACAGAAACGAGCACATCAAAGGACAGACATAATTCTGGAACGCTGTTATTTTTATCGTATACGATTTCAGCATTAGAGCACAGCTAATCCAAAAAAACAGTGCATTACAGCATAAAAAAAATCAGCCCTCACCTGCTGCCAAATGTTCACACAGCCAGAGTTGAATCCAGTGTGTCAGTTTTGCAAAGCCCTCAGTTTCAATTCTGACAGTGAATGAAATGTGTAGTATGCGCATTCGCAGCTAAATCAGCTCACTTTTAAAAATAGACTATTTCACATTTGCATTCTGAACTTAAATGTCTGTCCTGTCAGTGATTCTCTGTTCTGCTGTGACAGTGGCCCCAAGCAGCATTTGCAAATGTCCACCTGGGAAGGTTTTGCCAAAATAATTGAAGTTTTAGTGTGTGCTGTAAGGGGACGGTGATATGTTTAACCAGAACGCCCAGTGGATATTATACTGCGTACTGGAAGGGCACATTCAGTCAGACTTTCAGCATGTTTGTGGATTTCCTCAGGGCCTAATAGAGTGTAAAATTGTGGTTCTTAATACCCCGTAAGAGCAACCACTTCGCTAAGTAAAAGTGCTTCTCTTTGCAGGGGACAAACGCGTGGTCAAATTGTCCCTCAGGTCCACGGAAACTGGACACAAATTCATCACCACGGATTTCATCTTTTACAACTGCAGCGTTCTCCAGTCGTGAGTATCTTTTTATTAAAAAAAAAAAAAAACTGCATGCAAAGGGGGGAATAAAGCACACTTATTTCTGAGGAATGAATACACCAACCTCAAAAAGGAAGTCCACGCAGGGTGTTTCTCCATGCGTGCTGTCTATAGCATACAGACTAGTTACTGTTGTGTGGCAGGTAATGAAGAATTTAACACGGAGACGAGAACATCTGGTCATGAGCCCATAAGTCGCACTAACGGGTCAAACAGGAACGTTTCCTCACTGCCGCTCCAAGTGGCCGTGCAAAAGGCACTATTCACCAGCCAGTGTCAGGGAGCGATGTTTCCCAAAGATTATTTGAAACCCGACAAGCCAACAATACCAGCTAGCCAGCTTCCAGTAGATTAGCAATTTGCCATTAATAGAAGTCATGAAGGCGTGTAGAAGTAATTAACTTTACGGCTGCCTTTTTATTAGTCAATATGCGCTTTATGAATCCTCTGTAATGGCAGACATGCACAGGCAATGCACTGTCTTTTTGCTTATTTTAATAGAATAGGACAATAATCAGTTTAGCCTTTTCTGTTTCTCTTTATAGTCTATTCTGTTTTTGTCTGCACTGAGTCTGTGTTTGGGAACAGTAAAGGCAAGCTTCTGCAGATACAGCTCTCTCGTGAAGTGAGGTCATCATTATTAAACACTTTGCTTTTTGAAAAAAATATCTGGGCATTCAGATGTTCTGAAATGTCTTGAAGGGACGTCCATGAATGAAGAATGTATGTTTTCTTGAACTGTGTGCTTAATCTAAATTGAAATTTGTAAGTTACTCTGCAACTACTCTTGATGTGGGACAGTAACAAGTACAGCGTCACTACTAGAGGTGCAGGCCACTGCTTCCGTGTTTTGCCTTTGTCCATTTTTTAACTTGCCTTTTTATATTTGTGTTGGACGTCGGGCCCTTTGTGGCTCCCCGCCGCCTGCATGAAATCCAGGGGCTTCTTCGCCCTCGTAATATTCTGCACTGCGGATGTGGTCATGTTGTAGGGAACCACGTGGCAGCACTCAAACGATAAAATATGAAGGAAAAGTAAGGTCATGTTAGTAAAAGTGAATGGTTGATGGGTTTTTCAAAAAGAAAAACGATGCAGTAATACAGTGAGTCAGCTTTGACGATGGTGCCTGTTGATCACGGTAAATTTCTGCTTTGGAATAAGCCACTAAACAACCTTTTAGGCTTGTATATCCTTCACAGCACCCATGGAATGCTGGTTCTTGGCCATGCTTGAGGTGTGCCGAGTAGGCCGTCTTCCTGAAGTGCACATGCCCATCCCTACAGCCCTGTAACATGCCACTTCAGCAACGCGGCACGTCGTCATGGCCCCCTTCGGTAGATCTTGGCTTGTGTCACCTTAGCAGCTGAGTGCGTGCGACGCCATGCTGGGTAGGAGCCCATCCTGCAGAATGGAGACAGAATGGTCCCAGTGGCTGACACTACTGCAGCCTTGTGCTTGTAGCTCTCTTTTCTTCCGCTCTCTCTGATTGTTGAGGCCAGCTTGGTGATGCCTGAAACACTAGGTTGGATCAGTGATGTCGGTGTTGATCTGGACTGGGATCTACTCAGGTAGTCATGGCAGGGCAGCGTGATACCCTGCAGGTCTCTGAGACCAGTGCTTCCTCAGCTAGTTTCCCTCTATACCTGGAGGTAGGAAGGAGATGTTCGAGTTATGGTCAGTTGTGGTTAGGCGAGCTGGTTATTTTGTTCTGTATTGAGCAAAGTGGAACCACGGTGGGGAATCGTGGTCTCTTGGAGGAGTGACGAGGATGTTCACTGAGTGTGGTCAGTGTGGAACCCAAGCCTGACAGCGTCGTGACCACTGGGTTTCTGCCTTTGTTCTCTGGTTCTCAATTACTTCAGAGAAGTTCCAAGGTCACCTGGTGCTTTATGTGTAAATATGTGGCTGACAGTGACCTTTAACCCCAAGGGCAGTGTGCTATGCTGTATAGGAGGGCTTCCCTCATCGTGGGAGCTCCTGCTTTGGATCTTTTAACCTGGGAACTGTGAGCTTGTCCCATTTGGCTCTGACGGACAGTGTGCAGTGATGTCGAAGCTCTCAACACCGCAAGTCATCTGCGGAGCATCATGTCAGCGGCTGAGAGGTGGAAGAAGTCCATGCAGTGAAAGGCAGAGCCTCAAAGCAGCCACTGCAAATACAGTCCAGAGTAATGGAAGCTAATGAAGCATTTTGAGCAGGTTGTAGAGCTTCAAAGCATCATGGTGCTGATTTTTCATTTTTTTTCTTTTTTTTGAGCCAGTGCAGTGACAGAAAGTAAAATTGATGGTCCGCATGCATGAATAGCAGCAGTTGTCATTAATTATACCAAAGAATTCCCACCTGACATGTTGTTTACCAGCACAGTTGACTGTTGAGGTAATGAAATATTAACCAGGGCTGCATGTCCCAAATACCCTGCAGTAGAATCGATGATAAGATGGGATGCTTTAGCAGCATTGGCTTCCCATGCAGTTACCAGGCTGTATTTTTATGGCATTAGGGGAGGGGGGGGGGGTCCTCGTCCCCATGCGATACATGGTGTTTTCTGGATTCACACGTCTAAAGGATGTTGTGAATTGTCAGGTGTTGCAGTGAGACGGTCACGGGCTCCCCAGATGTTCTGTTCAGGCCCGAACGATCTGCAGTCATGCACACTGCTGAAAAGCCAGAACTTGGGTTCCCTGTGACCCCTAGTAACCTCACTGCAGCGTGGTGCCATACCTAGACAGTAGGTTTGATACCATAATGCAGCTTTTGTGTGTCTCCAGTTAACCATTCAATTGTTTAAATGTCCTCCGTCAGCCAAGGGATCCACCCACTGGCTCAATTGTAAAATTTCTGTTTTGTTAAACTGATTAAATTGGTAGTTGTTAGTATGTTGTGGAGAAAAAATGTGTCAAAGCTCACGCCCATGCACTCTGCTTTCATATTTAATTTGCAACTATTTATGATTTGGTTTTTGCAGTTTGCACATATAATCAAGAATAAACTGTTTAATTAATCTGTGAAGGATTGTGCATGCGTAATGAGGCTGCTCAGGTAAATATCACGGTCTGATCGGGGGTAGCGGTGAACGTGTGCATCAGGAATCAGGACTGATGTTTTCTGCATTTAGTTTGCACGTGCAAACATATTTGTCACCTTTGATAGTAGCTAAATAATGCTATTTTTAGGGCATAAAATTGTCCTGTCCGTTAGCAGAATGCATACGCAACAATCAATTCTCCAATGTGGGAAAGCGAGAGAGCGAGATCCATGCTGGGGCCCTGCAGTTGCCATGGCGACGCCGACTGAGGCCTACCTTGCCAGAGCGGTGCGCTTGAAGCCTGCGCCAGATTTCCTGATCTCACAAAAGCCCTGTGGGAACATTTAGCCCTTGAATTGTTTCCCCCTCTGGCATGACTGGCGGACAACACTAGCACCACATCTACCCTCACCCCCCTTCCCCCACGTTGCCATTAAACCCCGCCCCCCACAATTCTTCAGCCACCCAAGAGAACCCCCTTCCCCCTTTCATCCTCTGGGATAATGGCCACCTGTGAAAGTCAAGAGGGCAGCACCGAAGCTAGAACTGTGCAATCATATCTTTCCAGAAAATATGCGTCGTTTCAGGCTATTGCAGTGAACTGCTTTTCCCTAATGTAAGCTAAGAAGAAAATTCAATATGACTAAATATTGGAGCCCGTCTCCCTCTGCTTCACTATACATACACAGTTAGCGTGCCCATCTGCAGCCTGTCGCTTTTGGTTTTCCTTTGCGCGTAACCGGTGACTATGATTTCTGAACGCCGTGGCCCTCCGGTTAAGATGTAACTCGGCTATTTACAGAATCGCCTCCGAGCACCGAAACGGGAACTAAACATGCTGCAGCTGGTCAGTGCCGAACCAGTCTGGAAGCAGGATTTCAAAAGCGCTAACCTTGTTGCATGTGGTTTTTTTTTTTCTTGCTTTTTTTTTGGGGGGGGGGGGGTACTTTTGTCAGACTGCTGAAATTATCAGTGATCTTACTGAGTTTAGAAGGAGTACCCTGGGCGCAGCTGACAGTGTACATTTCAGCAGAAGTTTGCAGTGTTTTCCTGTGCTGGTTAGCAGAGTGCTACACCAGGGTGCTTCCAGTGGTCAGATTTTTATTGTTTGCCTAGATTCATTGATGCTACCAGAAAACACCTGAATCAGATGATAGCAAGACCAAAGAACCCCCCCCCCCCCACCAATGTAAATGCAATGGAATCCGCATTAAGATTTGTGAAGAATATAACTGTGACAGACTCGCAAAATGCAAATGTGGATTCCCGTCATTGCAGACGCAGCAGGAACATTGTTTTTTGCATTGTTTTGACAGGCAGCGTGTACGTGTGACGTGGGTTCGCTCACGCTTCTCAATGCCTTCTGGGGGGGATTTTTCACAGTAGCCACAGAGCTGGGGATATGATGAGATGTGAATCCGCCCAGCCTCCATCGTTCAACATTGCTTTGTGCCTTTCAGCATGTCTTAGGGAGAAGAGAAGCAGTGCTTCTCCAAGATTAAAGACAAATGTACGAATCTTAAAAGTACGAGTCATTCTGGGCTTGAGACATGAGCTCTTTCCTTGTTATTGAGGTGGATGTTTGGTCTTGCTTCTCCAGAACCTCCTGTGTCTCGGGACTCAGTAATGCCCTCGGTTGTAATCATATAATTGGAATCATCACGCACATCAGAAGTTCTAATGCTTTCTTTCCATTTAAGGCGTAATTAGATGTTAATTGAAAGGCACCTAGAAAATGTGCATGGATTCTTTGGGCCAGATGGATTTGAGTTGCCATTGTGTTAAGCTAGGAGAGGTTAATTACATGGGAAGAGACATAAAAGCTCTGAAATCTGACTGCAGCCCACCGTCGGCCTGCAGAAGCATTATGGGCTGGCAGTGGCTCTTGCTGTCCGCTTTCCTGACCCTTGTTCTCCCTCCCCAGGTGCCTGTCCTGTGTGAAGAGCCCTTTCCCTTGTAACTGGTGTAAATACCGGCACATCTGCACCAACAACCTGGCCGACTGCTCCTTCCACGAGGGACGCGTGAGCAACATTGAGGTAGGGTGTATGGCGGCTCCGGTCGGGCTCTGGGGGGGGGGGCACAGTATCGCTGTAGCCCGGCCCCTGTGACCCGGGTTAGCCTGTGAATGAGGCCTAACCTGGTCGTGACCCGGTGAGACCTGGGTTGTGGCCCCTGCCCGCCTCCCACACTGTCCCCATTGTCCCTCCCCCACAATCGCACCTTTGATGGTAGCTCTACCGCATGTCACCATTCTCGCTTGGAGGGCCTCCCCCGCCTTTCCTCTCCCTTTCCCTTTTAGTTGCAGCTTGGTTCCTTTGTCCTTTTCTGCGATAGGCATCTATTCAAAAGCAAAAATCATTTAATTTAGCCCCCTCTCTGAAGGAGTGGCGGAAAGGTTCTCTGAGTTTTTCCCAGCCCCGGAGAGCCCCAAAGAGAGGCAGTCGATAAAAGTAGGTCATAGAGTTGCGCATGTTATTTCTTTATTCCGGCAACATCTCATTTAGGTTCGGCACGGAGGTGAGGGTGCTGTGCTCCAGTCTCAGATTACTAGCTTCAGCTGGCTGTGTGTTTTTTTGTTTGTTTCCCCAATCAGACTAGGCTCAACTCCCAACAAGAAACTGTTGACCAAGAGCACAGAAGTTTATGGCTCTCAATGGGCAAAAGCCAAGAGTCTCTGAGCTGGAAAAGTAATGAAACTTCATACTTTAACCCTAGGGGGTTGTGATCATAGTTCATAGCTGACCTGCTATTTTAGATTCATACCTGTGGTGTTTGCTACGGATAGGGTCTGTGTCGACCTGAGAGGTGTACCTCTAATCCCGCTGTGAATCGCAACAGCGTGCCGTTCCACTCTCCCATGTCTAACGACGGCGACCAGAGGCCTAAGCAAAGACAAAATGCTGTTATACATCTAATAACTACATTTATAGGATTGTGGAGCAACACAAATCGTGGTCATAACATGACCTGGGTATCCCAAAGGGTTTAACGTAATTACACTAAAAAGTACGTCTGTTAATAAATGCCAATTGTACATTATATTAGTGCCATATCAGTTTTTTTTCTTTTTGAATCATTACGGTTTGCCAGCTACAAAACAGGGTATTAGCTGGACAATTAAGATGCTGACAGTATAATGTCAATAGCTGTCATTCTGAGATAAACAATTTATGAAGGTACATTATTTGTTAATATAGCAGGTAGCAGCCAGCTCTGTTTGTTTACGGTGTCGATATCTAGATGAAGCAGAGGCTTCCCTGACGCTCTATTGTTAATGGTGATAAACGTGTTAATATGTGAGTCGTTTTTAATGGCATGTTAAGTGTTGCTCTTTTTAGCATAACGGAAAAATGTTATTTATGTGTTTCTTCATTGACCAGAGAATCGCAGCTCTTCGGCTAGACTCTGACTGTTAGGTGTTCTTTAACTGCCGTAAGTGAAAGTCAGACTGGCCCAAAGTACAGTGATGCAGGTTTTTCTTCCGTTGTGTGACTCCAAGGTAAGACAGTGCTGGTGTCACTGCATGTGATCTTTCTGTCCCTTGGGCCTGTCTTCGTTTAAGTGTGGAAGGTCTGTCTTGGCCGCATATCCTCTGCACTGAGTGACAGTGACATAATTGTCCTACTAACTGCTGAGATTTATAAGGCATCTCCGTCTCCCCCCCCCCCCCCCCCCCCCCCCCCCCCCCCCCCCCCCCCCCCCCCCCCCCCCCCTGCCCCTCCCCCTCCATCTCCCCTCTCGGTGCCTCAGAACACATTGATTTCACACTCGAGTAGATTTCAGACCCAGTTCAGTAGCCCAGGGCTCATGCGAAAGCTGCAGCTGGGACTGCTACAGCTGCGTTAGGCAAGCGTGTGTGTGTGTGTGTGTATGTGGGCAGGCACAGCTCATGTTGGGTAGGGAATTCCTTAATGTCAACACAAAGGGCATCGCTGGGGCTTAGGAGCAGCACGGCTGGTTTTTAGTGTGCAGCTCCCATCACGTGCCCCCCCCCCCCCCCATAAAGAACACATGAAAACAACCCAAATTGCATTTGCAAGGCCCCTGCCTATGGCTGTCTGATCACCAGGACCTTCATATGCTAGTAAATGCTGATGGTTTGACTGATACCCAGAACTGCGCTTTGATGCAATTGCACTTATTTTCCTGGATTAAAACATACCCTTCAGCCGCTCATAAACTCCATGTTTAGAAAGTTTAGTCGAATTGGCCCAGTTATTACTGCCTCCAGCCTCTGTTTGGTTACATTATTAAAAAAAATGGCAGTCGCTTATTCTTTTATTGGTCTCTATCAAGCCTTGAAGTAATCTCAATGACTTTTATGGTTACTGTGATCATACTTTTCCAACGACGACTGAGAGGCCATATAGGTTTAGCCACAAGCGACTGACTTGAGTAATGCTATTAAGTACCTATTTTGAGCATATCTTGCATTGACGTGCAAGCAGTAACTATAAATAACCAATAAACTTCTCAGTTTTATTTTTTGGTGCCGGCATATTTACTGTAAACTGACGGTAACCTTTTCTCAGTGAGTTTGTTTGCATTTTAAATTCAGTGTATAAAGCTTGCTGGTTAGAACCGGATGGTAAGACATTTTGTTAATCCCGTCTAAGTGAATTTGGCGTCCATTGTCATAGGTTTACAGAGGAGCTAGAGGTTAATTGAAACTGATATGCTGACTGAATGGATGCATATCAGCGGATAATGAGCGAAGGAGGTAAAGACGGGATAATTTGCCAGGTAATGAGCAACTAATATTGGCGTTAAATAAGAATAACCCACACAGTTAGCATCCACCTTAAAACATAAAAAAATCCCTCCCTGAATGGTGTAGGGGTGAGCATGAAGATAGGAGGAATTACAGAAAGGAAGAAAAGCCCCTTCTCTTCCTGCGGAACCCGGGAGAGACGCATCGCCGTCGGCTTTTGGCACATTTTAATTTTACACTTAACTGAACATCAAAGAGATGCCCTATCTGTGCTTATCAGACAGCGCCAGCAGCGACGCGGAGACGTGCCAGTCACTCGCCCGGCCTGCCCACCCGTCCGCCCGCCCGCTCCCCCGTCCGCCCGCCCGCTCCCCCACCCCCAGTACGGGCATTGACAATCTCCTTATCTCCTCTGGAAAAAGAGTTACTCAGCGAAAATGAGTGACTCACACACTGTTGATACTGGAGGGATAATGTTGGAGAAACAGGCCAGTGTACACTCCCCCATACACACACACACACAGTCGTGTAATCATATCTTTTTGGGGACCAGGAAACTGGTCCCCATAAGGTAAAAAAAAAAAACGGGTATTCATCACGTTGTGGGGATATTTGGTCCCCACAAGATAAGGTATACCTAGACCACACACACACACACACACACACACACACACACACATTTATAAAATCAAGCATTATATAAGTCTAATTAAAACATCTATTCTAAGCTTCTAAGCTCTGCATTTTCTCATGGTAGTTTGAAAGAAAAAATAAATCTGTAATCACATTTGTTTTGCAGTAGTGACCTCCTTTCATCAGACGTCAGAATGGCTGCCTGAAATCATCGTCTCTGTTTGCGTCCTCCTTGGCCCGCTGACTGCTGGCCCGAAGTGCAGCTCTCCCCAGCTACAGCGGGGCTCTCGGCTCTCAGACACTGGGGCCGACTTGGCTCTGGGTTCAAGTGCAGCTTTAGCGTAGCCGCCAATGCTCCAGGGGTTGGCTCAAGCACAGGCCGGGGATGCAGCCTCCTGACTGAGAGCAGGTCCGCCGGCCCCCCAGCGGTACCCAGACTGCACGGGCTTCGGTAATCCACAACACAGCGGCTTGCTTTATGGTGGGAGTCTGCCATAGAAGATGCCAGAGCAAGAGGGTAGCTAACTTTAACTTCAGGCGTCTTCCGCTAAAATCCTGCCAAGAATGAAAACAAGACTCATTATGGTGTCTTAACAGTGGAGGGAACGACGATTAGGTGGTAAGACCAGGGCTCTGGTTAGTTTCTACCCCCTCATCTGAGCCACCTTCCCCCCGAACTTTGTTTGAAAGTTTCAGTTTCCATGGAGTAATGTGTAGCATGTTGTCTTGTCCCGCTGTTAATCTCACACGTTACGCAGCTCCTCTGTGTACAGAAAGGGAGCCGGAGTACTGGCCGCAATTCTCCGCGTAAGAAAACCTCAGTCTTACTCAACACTTGGTAATCCGAATGTTCGGCATGGATGAAAGTTGGAATTGTTAAAGACGGGCCAAAAATAACTGAATTCATGAATATTAAACATGGGAAAGTTATGGCTTCCTGCGGGTTACAGAGCAGTTTGAACTGCGAGGAGTGAGCACTAACATAAAGCCAGAAGGGGGCCTGAATTGCCACCTAGCTCTACTTTGGAGTGTCTTTTATAGTCGTGGATTTAATTGTTGTGGTTGTGTTTTATTGGCAGAGAAACTGTCCTCATTTATCCCACATAAATTGGTTTGGTGGTTTAACCGTTAGTGACGTGCAGTCACTGCCACTCGTGGCTCTCACTGCACTTGCTTTCCGTATTAGTTGTCAGTCTGTCTGTTTTTCTGTGCTTCTCTATGGCTTCTTCAGAGTAAACAGTTCTGATATGAACAAATCCACCCCCCCTCAAATCTCCCGGCTATCTCTGACATCTCTATACGCCGCTGATGCCATGGGTACAGAAAGCACCCAGTATCATCACGCATTCGCCTTACTGTTAATTACAACAACAAAATGTAATCACTCTGCGCTATTTGTTAACTTTAAAAGGAGCCCCTTGTTGCTCCTATGAGATCCAGCCCGGGAAGACTCGCTTTCGTGTCGGCCATTCCCAAAGCGCCGGGGGATCGGGAAGAGCCTCGCTCCCCCTCCAACACTGCTAACCGGTCCCCTTGGCGCCGGGTCTCTGTGGGAAGACCCTTTATTAATGAGTGGCGGGCCGGTAATTAATTGAGGGATGAGTGACAGAGGAGCCATTAGTCCCACAGGAAGTGTGGCAGGGGGCCCAGGCCTCGGGTGGGGAGTGATCCTGCAGATCAGAGCTGCGACAG